TTTTGTGCATGGTGAGAGACAGGGGTTTAATTTCAAGGAAATTCATTTGAAATACAAAAACACAGACAGGTTGAAAGTAAAGGGATGAAGGAAGATGTACCATGTACACAATCATCTTTAAAAAGCTGGATTTGCCGCGCTACCACCCATGGGGGTGGACTTCAGAATAAGAAGCGTTAGCGCAGGTAAGGAAGGATGCTTACGAGGGCCCAGGGGCCGATTCTCTGAGGGGACACAGTGATCATGACTGTGTCTGTGCCAACACCAGGGGATCAGAGTCCTCCCAGGTGGACGTGGAACTGCCACCAGGAGAGACCGTGTTCCGAGCCACAGAACAAGTCCACATACATGTAAAGGGAAGGAAACCATTCAGAGTGTGGCTTTTGGCTATTAAATAACTAAACTAGAAATTACTAGCAACGGGATCTGTAAATCCCCATCCAAAACCTAACCAACACCATCCTAAGTCACTCATGGGCCAAAAAATAAATCACGAATCGTTTTTACCTGAATAAAAATGAAAAGAGTCTTTTGAAACTTGTGGGGTGCAGTTAAGCAGTGCTTAGAGGAAAACTGGCAATGTGAGATTCTTTTATTAGACTTTGATATACTCCTTTATCAAAGAACTACAAAAAAAAGAAAAGAAAAGATAAGCCCCAAGTAAGCAAAATAGTAAAAAATGATAAAGGTCAGAGCAAAAGTGAATAAATCAGAAAACAGAAAAACAAGAAGAATCAGTGAAACCCAAACCCCATTCTTTAAACGTTTATTGATAATCTCTAGTAAGATTTATCAAGAAAAAAGGAAAAGAGACACAGTCACAGTGTCAGAGATGAAGACGGGTGGCCACAAACCCCACAGAAAACGGAAACACGGCAGGAAAATGGCAGGGACAAGTGACGTCATTACAGTGAAAACCTAAGAGGAGGCCCACGTTTCTAGAAGAAGCAGGTGGAGGCGGCCCACGTTTCTAGAAGCAGCAGGTGGAGGTGGCCCACACTTGTGAGTAAATAAATCAATATCAAAAGGACTACAAAAAGCTATGGGACTAAAAAGGGAGGGTTGGTTTTGGATGTGAGGTGTCCCCCCAAGCTCACTGTGAGACACGCAAGAAGGTTCAGAGGGGAAAGGACTGGGTGGTGAGAGTCTTAACCCAATCAGCAAGGTGATCCCTGATGGGATTAGCTGGGTGGGGCTGAAGGCGGGTGGGCGTGGCTGGAGGAAGTGGGGGGCGTGGCTGTGGGTAGATAGAAGGTGGAGCTGCTCCCTCTGCCTCCCTCTCCCAAGAGGTGACCAGCCTGGCCTCCAGCCCTGAGGAACAGCCTTCTCTGGACCAAGATCTCTGAGCCGTGAGCCTCAAATAGGCTTCTCCTCCTTGCTGTGGTTCTGGTCCGAGCCTTTCATCACCGCAGTGGAAGGCTGACCCAAGGTCGATTGGACTTCTTCCTTACAGACATACATTTCGCTGAAAATTTACAGATAAATTCATGATAAAGGTGACATCCTTAGTGATCGGTTTAACAAAACAGATGTGTCAGGTTTCTCTCGTACATGGAAAAAATATCACTGATTCACAAATTTAAGAAAACCTAAATAAATGGGGAGCTCGACTATGTTTATGGACTAGAATGTTCAGTATAATGAGAATGGCAACTCTCCTAAAATTCTATAGAGGTTCCTTGTAAAGCAATAAAAATATCCCAGAATGCTCCCTTAAAGAAACTGACAGATTAGTCTTCATGTTTACCTAGAAATGCAAAGGACCTAGAATTGCCTGGAAAAGTTTGAAAAGAGCCAGGCACAGCCACGCATGCCTGTGATCCCAGAAGCTTGGGAGGCTGAGGCAGGAGGATCGCGAGTTTAAAGCCAGCCTCAGCAATGGTGAGGCACTAAGCAAGCCGGTGAGACCCTGTCTCTGAATAATATACAAACTAGGGCTGGGATGTGGCTCAGTGGTTGAGTGCCCCCCGAGTTCAATTCCCAGTAACAAAAAAAAAAAAAAAGTTTGAAAAAGACAACAAAAACTGAAAGACGTACAATGCTCCAGAGCCTGTTGTTAAAGTAATAGTGACGAGGACAGCTTGGTATTGGTGAAAAGATAGAAAAATCAACGGAACTGAGTGCACATAGACTCACATTGGCGTGGTCAATTAGTTTTTGACAAGGTTGCCAAAGCAACGCAGTGGGAAAAAATCAGACTTGCACCAAATGATCCTAAAACAGTTGGGCACAGACCTCGTGCCATATGAAAAACCAGCTCAAAATGAGATCCTTACTCCTCCGTTTTTTCAGGATGGAGTCTTGCTGTGTTGTCCAGGCTGGCCCTGGACACAGGGACTCCAGTGGTCCCCCTGCCTCAGCCTCCTGGGCCGCTGAGACTGACAGCACAGAGCCTAGATCTAAATACCAATCTGTAACATTTTGGAAAAATCATTGTGAAAAGTCTTGGTGACCCCGAGTTAGGCAAAGATGGTTGAAACAGCAGGAAAACAAAAACTTGAATCATAAATGAAAAAATGTAGGATGATGCTGCTAAAATGTAAAGGTCTACTCTTCAGAAGACAGGTCAAGAAAAGGAAAAGGCAGGCGGGGCTGTAGCTCCGTGGAGGGGTCCTTGCCTCGCAGAGTGAGACCCTGGATAGATCCCCAGGGGCTGAGAGGGGCAGGGAGAAAAGCAACGGCAGGTGGAGCCCTGGCAGCCTCTCTGCAAGCCGCCTGCCTGGCGAGGCCCTTGGGGACCCAGGGCCTGGAGAAGGGAGGGAAACGCCTGCGGAGGTCCCTGGCCATCTCTGGTTGTTGCGCCCAGCCAGGGCTCCTGGCTGAGCAGGACGCAGGGCTGTGATGTCCTCCTGAGCAGCTGAATCTCTTAAGGAACCCCTTTCCAGACCCGTGAGCTTCTCACCAGGCAGGTCCTTACTGGGCTGGGCTCACTCCCTCTGGGCCATGCTCACCCCATGGGGAGGTCCCCTGTCATCTCTGGGACCAAGGAGCAGGTGAGTTCGGCTCCTTCCCCCTCCCACAGCTTCTCTGTGTCTGCGGACCCCACCCGGCACACAGCCTTGTCTTCCTGGCCTCCTGCGGCCACCCACTGGGTGGACGTCTTGGAGGGGCTCTGCTCCCTGTGGCTGCCCAGGGCTGGCTGAGGGGCAGCTGGACCCACACCAGAGGTGCCTTTTGGAAGAAATCCACCTCCGAGGCACGAGGGCGACCGATCACAGTGCGGTCCTGCTGGCAGCAAGGGGAGGAAAAATGAGAGCCCTTCCTACGGGATCAGGTGACCATTTTACATTCTTCCCCAAGTCGACGGGGCCATTTTCACTACATAAAATGAGCAAAAAATGTAATTATTTCAAGGTGTCCTTCACCTCGAACTCACTCGAGGCCCACAGCTAAGGGGTTTTTAAAAATACATATATTTAAAGCAAATATTATTGCAAATGACTACTCTGTAATTTGGATTAATTGCTTTTGGTTTTTTCTGGAATAAAATCTTTAAGGCAAACCCATAAAAACCCTGGAGCCCAGACCAGCTGTTCCTGCGATGGCTCATTTGCAGGGAGTCCCATGCCACCCCACGGGCAGCCGAGGTGGGTCACAGAGTCCGCTGTTGTGCCAGAGACGGGCACTGGGCAGAGGCCACAGCAGGGAAGCCCTGGCCTTCCTGTCACACCGGCTGGACTCAGCTTGAGCCTCAGGGGTGACTGGAGCCCCCACCCGGGGGGGTGGGGCTAGGAAGGGCCTCGAGATGCACTGCTGTGCCCTCTGTAGGGTGAGGTCAGGGGCTTGGCCTCCGGGACCCACCCAGGGAGACTCTGCCGCTGCAGGGCGAGGGGAGCAGGTGCTGGCTGTGACCCAGGTCACAGTGCAGCTCAGCAGGGGCTGGAGAAGCAGGAGCCTCCCCGGATCCAGGCAGTGCCCCTGGGCTTCCTGCCCCCAGGAACTGGGGACCAACCCTCCCTGGTGTGGGGGAGGTCCCCGATGGCCATGGGGGGCCTCTGTCTGGGGTCTTGCTGCGTCAGCTCGTGCAGCACTGCAGGGGGCACTCCCATGCCTCTAGGGACCCTGAGAGAGTGTCCAGCGGGGGCAGGCACTGTGGTCAGCAGCCCGCCCATTCCAGGAGCTCAACATACTTGTTCTGTGTGGCCCGAGAGCCAGGTGTCACCTTCCCATGTGGCCAGAGAGTGACAGCTGGGGGAGCTTCCCACAGTCAGTGAGTGGAATGTGAGGGGCATCCCAGCCGGAGCTCCAGCCTGGTCAGCAGACGTGAGCAGACCTGCTCGCCGCACACGGACACAGAGGTCAGGGACTGGGGTTCTGGGCCAGCTCTGTCCCCGGTACGCCTGTAACAAACTGCATCTCCCACTAGGCCTCCTTCTCACTCATTCCAGTGAACGGGGCTGCATACAAGCACCCCTCCAGCCACCCACCCCTCCTTAGTCCATCCAGCCCCAGTGCATCCATCATGGTCTGTTTCAGTCAGCTCTTCCACTGCTGTGACCAAGGACCTGATAAGAACCGTTTTAAGGAGGAAAAGTCCACTTGGTGCTGCGGTTCCAGAGGTCTCAGTCCACAGATGGCCAGCTCCGTGCCTGGGGCTCGAGGTGAGGCAGAGCATCAAGGTGGAAGGGTGTGCGGAGGAAGGTGGCTCATGACACCCCACCAGGAGGCAGAGACTGACAGCTCCACTCTTCAGAGACAAAACAGCCCCCAAAGGCTGTCCCCCAGGGACCCTCCATCCTTTGCCGCAGGCTACCTGCCTGCAGTTATCACCAAGTGAATCCCTATCAGGGGATGAATTCACTGACTGGCTTAAGACGCCCGTTATTCAATCATGTCACCTCTGAACCTGGCACTGCCTCACACACGAGCTTTTGGGGGACACCCCATATCTAAACCATAGCACTCTCCACCCAACACCCACCTGACAGCCACCTATCCACCCACCCGCCCACCACCCATGTAGCAGTCCACGCATCTGACGTCCAGCCACTCACCATCAGGTTCTGGGGATAAATGGAAAGAAAACCAGCAAGAAACCCACCCTCTGGGCGCCACCTGAGGGTGGGTGTGGGGGTCCTTCAGTGACCAGCCGCCCTGGGTGGAGACTCCCTGCCCCTCCCGGTGGGGCGCAAGGCTTGCCTCCTAGGACCCCACCAGACACAGCAGCACCAGCTCCCCCAGGTGTGTGGGAGGGCGAGGCCCCCACCTGCAGAGAACCAGGGTGCGGGGCCTGGGGACTAGAGGGACTGAGAACCCACAGCCTGCCCCGCAGGGGAGGAGAGCAGCCTGTGGACAGCAGGAAGGAGAGGAAGGCCACCCCAGGAGGGTCCACCTGCAGGGGCGGAGTGGCCCAGGGGTCAGGCCACCCCACGCAACCCCACCTCCAGGGAGGCTCCACTCCAGGGAGGTGGCCAAGGGCAGCCTGCCTTGGTCTAGACCCTTCTGACCACTTAACTCCACATGGGGGTGCCTGCTGCTGCCCCTTCTCTGTGCCAGGGAGGGGGTATCAGGGCTGAGGTCCCCTCCTGGGGCCACAGCTGGGCCAGGCTTGTGACTGCAGTCCACAGGGGTCCTAGGGACACAGAGTAAGGGGAATGTCCACTTTACTGGAGAGGGACGGGGCAGTTCCTGAAGAAGGTCACCTTGCAGCTGTGACAAAGCCCTCCTCCTGCTCCTGCCTCCAGATGCAGGGTAGGGAGGGCTCCGTGGTGGAGAGGAAGGGGGGACTTTCCTAGATTCGTAACAGAGCACCCCAAAAGTCAGGAGTGGCCATAGAACACCCGAGACTAGGGATGGGGTCGCTACCTCGGGAAGACGGAGGGAGGCCAGGGGTCCGTCCCTGGATGGGCGGTGACTGCAGGGCCTTCAGGCCCAGCTGGTTCTCTGGGAACCTCCCTGGGGAGTCGCCGACTCTGGCAGATGCTGACGTCCAGCATCTCCCGGGCCGCAGGCCTCAAGCTCCCCCTCTTCTCAGATCCTCTGGTCATTTCCTGGGCACAGGCAGGAGCCAGTCAAGGGCCAGCGGGTGTCTGGAGAGGGAAGACCAGGATGGTGGGCGGTGGGAAGAAGGAGCTGCGCAGCCCACTGGGTTCCAGTAGAAAACAGGGCAGGAAGTCACCACAGAGTGTCCCCAGCAAACTGCCCAGGGCCGCACCGTGGACGTGTCCAGGGCACGTCCTGTGACCCAGAGGGACCCTTGGGATGGCGCGATGATTGTTCTTTTATGGCAGAAACAGGTCGACTAGTGGTCTTCCCTGGTGCATGGTAGCTGTGCCTACGGGGGCCTCGCCACGTGTTCATACAGCACTCGACTCGCGGAGTGACTCACCCAGTGGCCTTCTCCAGAGTCCCCTTTCCTTCCCACCTCGCTCCCCCTCCTTTCCCTCCAGTTCTCCCCAGACCCCACCCTTCTTTCCCACAGAGGAGAGAAAACACATGACCTTGGCCTTGGGAGCTGGCTGATTTCACGCCACGTGAAGTCCTCGAGCTCCATCCGTTTTCCCTCACTCGACACGGTTTCTTTTTTCCTCTGCAGCTGACTAAAACTCTGTGGGACTGGGATTGGGGCTCCGCGGTGCAGCCCTTGCCAGCCTGCGTGAGGCCTCTGGGTTCCACCCCCAGTACCACAAAGTACAGCAAGAGCAAAGGCCCCTGCGTGTGTGCAGGCCCAACATGGTCAAAGTCCACTGTGGATGGAGCTGGTTCCTGGGTTTGGCGGAGACAAAGAGAAGATTCCAGGGCAGAAGCAGCAACAGAATCTCCGCAGGCTTTGAGACAGCTGTGCCCTGGAGCAAGAAGGCAGCGAAGGAAACAGAGGAGACCATCTATCTCCCCCTTAGAATCCCATACGCAGCCCACCTATCCCTGCACAAGTGGAAGAATGGAGGCACTTCCAAGTCCTCCCGGTGTACCTCCTGCCTTGTTGATCAGGGTCACCACAGGGCTGGGGCTGGGCTCAGAGGCGGCCCACCTGCCTGGCATGGAGGCACCGGGTTCAGCACCACATATGAATACAACAAAGGCCCCTGGGCAACTAAAAAACATTTAGAAATAAAGAAGCTCCTATAGAATGTGCTCCTCAAAAGGTGAGAAAGTAAAGCAAGAAAGTGCTCACTGCAGACAGCAGGAGAGCCCAAGGGATGCCCCAGAGGGGGACAGCCAGCCTCCTCGTCCATCTCTAAAGCCTGCAGGCTGGCGTGGACAAAGAGAGGATTCCCGGGAGCAGCAGATGGTTTCATTTCAACATGGACTATTCTTCCCGCCACCACCACATGTAAGGTCCCTTGTGATTATGCTGGGCTCCCCAGAAAGTCCAGGTTGCATCCCCACTTTGAGGTCAGTTGAAGAGGAAACCCTGATTCCTGTTATCTGAATTTTCCCCACTACCCTTCTGCCCTGAGTCACTTCTCCTCTCCTCCATCCTTTGCTCCAGCTATGCCAGCCACTTCTACCTCGGGGCCTTTGCACTGCTATTCCCTCTGCCCGAAGGCTGCTCTGTAGATATGCTCTGTCTCTGCACTCCTTCATGCTTCTGCTCCAATGTCACCACCCCAGGGAGGCCTCTCTTGACTACTAGCAGGGGAGCCTGCTGGTAGCTATGCCCTCTAGCTGTCCAAGTTCTCACCTCTCTGTGCCTGGGGCGCTGAGATTCTTCTAGAGAGCCTACAATGATCAGTCAGTGCTGCCTCCACCGTGAGCATGGGCTCAAGGGGGTGGAAGAGGCCCTTGTCTTGTTTGCTCACTGCTGCGTGCTTGGGTCACATGGCTGTGCCTGGTACAGAGTAGGCGTGCCATCAGTCGGCTCTCTTGAGCAAGCTAGGTTTGCACTGTGGGCTGCAGCGCCTGGCCGCGGTCCGCCCGGTTCTGCCTGGCTCCCCTGACTCTGGGGTGGTTGCCGGGGGCTGAAACCAGAGTGTGCTCTTGGCGCACTCACTTGCCCGGATGCCCGCCTTTCCCTCCACGCCGCCCAGTGGCACCAACCTGCACCTGCCCGGTGGGTCTGCCGGTAGTGGGCGTTTCATGAACGTGGAGTCACACGGCCTGTGGCTCTGTGTGTGGTTCCCTCCACCCCGGAAGGTATTTCCAAGCCCGCAGGAGCTTTGTTCCGTTCCCCTGGCGGCTGAGGAATGTCCCCGTGCGTGAGTGGGTGGACCACATTTCCTCTGCCATTGGGGCTGCCATGGTCCCCATCACTGCAAGGAGCTCTGCAGCTAGGCTCACACCCCAGGGTCTGTGTTAGGCAGCTGGACTGCAAAGCAGAGGAAGGGGACAGTTAACGCGCCCCTCCCCCAGGGTTGGTGCGCCTGTGGGGGTGGGGCGGGTGTCAGAGAGCTTCCTGGACCCAGCGCTCCGAGCTGCGCAGCGGTGTGTCGCGCACCTTGATTCGGCTGCTCCTTTCAAAAGTGAAGACTTTGAAGATGAGCAGAAGACTTTTGAAACGTGAATGCCGAGTAGTTATTTTAAACAGCAGCCTCTTGGGGATCTGGTTCCGTGTGACCACGTCCGCCTTTGTTGAGGGTTCGAGGCTGTGGTCTTCGGCAGGCTCCCAAGGAGTGCCACCCGGGCACTGCCCCTTCCAGACATTATCACAAGGAACCAAACCCTGAAGCAGGCGTCCCCTGCCCGCTCCTCACGAATCTATTTTCACCGACTCTAGGTTGGCAGGACCTGGGCATTTCATGATGTGAATCCCACAAGACGTGACCTTGGGTGACGGGTATTGTCCCTCAGCGACCATGAGCCAGGGCTCCGGTCCCATCCATGGCCACATGCCTCTCCCTTGCACCTGCCTATCTCTTCAGGACTGATGCTCCCCCTCCCACCCGGGACTGGGCTCCTGCGGACTCCTGCCTGGCGCTTCCAGAACGCTGCTGCGGGTGGGTCTCCCAGTCTGTCAACCTCAGGCTGACCTTCAAAAGCAGGGGCTTGGGAGGCAGGCTGCAGGGAAAGCCGTCCTCACCGTTGAGCCGGGCTCTGACCCAGGGTGAGACCTTCTGAGGTCTTGGGATGGGGACAAAAGAGCGGGTTGTTCCTGGTTAGCGAAAAGCACAGGCACAAAGGGAGAATCAGGAAAGGCTGACCTGATTGGGAAGCAGCCTTCAATGAATGACATCATCCAGAGAACATAAATCTTGGTTTGTAGGATTTATTTATGTTAAGAAAGCCGCATACGATGCCGAGTTTTCAATGGCTTTGTTTAAGTGATAGTTTTGCCTCTTTAGTGAAAGTTGGAGCGATGATAAACAGCTCCAGCTGTAAAAATTAAAGGCGGAGGGGAAGCCAAGGTGATTATTACAGAAAAATGCTGAGTGGGGAGGGGTACTTGGCCCTTCCATCCTCTCAAATGAAAATTACCCTGCGCCACGACGCACCACGAACAATTACCTGCTGTTTATCAATTAACCTCTTTAAAAGTGCCACGTTTCGATGAGGAGCTGTTATTTCTCGGATGTGAAAACTGGCTCAGTCGTATTTATTAGAACAACCTTGTCCCGTGTGGTCCACGTTCTGGGTACACTTAATGGACACCTATTTTTTTTTTTAAAGACACTTGTTTAAGATTGGAAATGTCTTACTAGAAGCTCAGATAATGAGTGTGACCTTCTTCATGTGTAGGAGCACCCAAAATGAGCCCCCCACTGGCCAGGTCATGGAGCCTCCCTTACCCCCTGGGAGCCCAGTTAACTGGGGAGAAGTGGGGAAAACAGGGCCGCTGACCCCCCAGTGAAAGGTGGGCTCAGGGAGCAAAGACCCCCAAATGGCTGAGTCCTCCTGGACCCAGGCGAGCGAGCGCACTGTGCCCGAGGTGCCCTGGGGCCAGAGCACTCTCCAGATTCAGGTTCTCGTGGTCAAGGAGCCCAGAGAAAGGTCCCAGGCAGAGCCCCTCTGTGACGGTGGCCCTGCCGCTGTCCAGGAGGGCCTGGTCCTGGCAGGCCCTTGCAGCTAAGCCCGTTAAATGCAGGCTTTGCAGTCAGGGAGCTTTCCGTGGGAATCCCGCTGCTGCCTCCAGGACAGATCCTGATGCCGGTGGCTGAGGGCTTGAGCATCAGTTCCTCTACCTGTGAGGGGGGAATAATGGCACCTTGTCACCTGGGATCCTTGTGATGGTCACAAGACACGGTGTGGCAACCGGGAGTGGGAGGCTGCCCGTACCCCTTCTGGAACGGCAGCCTGGCCCAGGAGTCCCGTTTGGCCCGAGCCCTCCAGGCCAGGACCTGGTGGCAGTTTCTCTCTGAAGAGGTTCCCTCATGCCCACCTTCCCACCCCTGCCCTCCTGCGGAGCTCCAGCCCCAGCTAGTGGGTTCTCTTTCTAGACTGGGCCCTTCCGGCTGGGGACCTGCTGGCTTGCTCGCTGCTGGATCCCCAGTCACACGTGCTGGCATTATCATGCTGGATGCTGGGCGACCAAGTGAGGGCCAAGGGAGACGCTGGAGAGAAGACTCAGCCTCAGGCACACAGCAGAGCCCACGTTCTGCCAGGCCGCCCTCATCTCCTTGACTTTCCCTGGGTGGACGGACAGAAACCCGCTGGTGGAGACCCAGAGGCCTCCTCTCTCAGGACCCTGCACACAGGACCCTGCACACACTCCTTCACTCACTGACCCTGGGGCCAGGTGCCAGGGCTTCGGAGGTGGCAAGATGCCCTGGACATTCCAGGTTGGGAGGAGGAGACACCCGCATGTGGGACAGGAGCCCTCAGACTCTAAGCTGCAGGACCACTCTGCCCTGCAGGGCCTCTCCTAGGAGGGTGAGTGAACCTGGGTCTGAGGCCTGAGCTAGACCTGTGAGAAGTTCCAGGTGCAGCTGCCAGGAGACCAACCGGTCCTGATGGCAGCTTAGGGCAGGACATGGTCAGGAGGGTCCAGAGGCAGAGGAAGAGAGGCACATCGCCCTCTCTTGTCAGCTAGGCAAGCTTCGGGAGTGGCCTTTGGTTGTGGAAGAGGAAGTGCAAGAGAGCAGGGTTTGAGGGAGAGGCCTCTGGCCACTGGGGCCCTTGCTCCAGCTCCTACCAAGTTCTCAGGAAGCACAGCCCCCCCCCCCCCCCCACACACCTCAGAAGAACCCCCCCCGCAAGCCATCCCCTGCCATGGTAGTGTCCTCTCATGCTAGGGAATAGGGGCTCTGGATGGGCCAACCCAGGGTCCCAGCAGAAGTGGGGCAAAGGCTGGGTCTGACCAGGGGAAGTGCCTGCCCTGCCCCCCCACCACCAGCCAGTGGTGTGAGCCTGGCTCTCCGCTCTGACTATCCTCCCTGTTGCCCACCACCAGCCTGGGTACCCATTATAATTCACTGATGTCACAGGAGGTGTGTCCCTGTGACAGCTGCTCAAGGCTGTACCATCTCCACCCTGATCTCCAGTCCCCAGCACGGAGCAGGCCTCAGTGAGGTCACCTGTGGGGACTTCAGGGATACCACGCTGAATGCAGCTGTGTCCCTTGCCATTGAGCTACTTCCTATCTTGGTGGGAGGGAAGGGGACAACCTCAGGGCTCTGGGACACAGAGCCCCAGGAGCTCAGGTTGTAAAGCCTGGGAGGGGTCAGAGTCCCACTGGATTTTTCCAGTCCTGGGGCATGGGTGCAAGAGCCCTGGTGGGGGCAGGGCCCCCATCATAGAGGACACTCTGCCCGAATCCGTCACCTTGGGGTCACTCTGCAGAACTGGTCATTTTTTCCCTGCCTGGGGCCGTCCTGGTCTCTGGCCTTTTCTTGCCGGCTCCCTGAGCCGTGGCTGATTATTGGTTTAGTAGAAAGCAGAGGGGGGAGCAGTCCAGTGGGGCGTCCCCCATCCACCCCAGGCTCTTCTCCTCCGCCTCCCACATTCTGCTCAGAGGGTTGAGGGCTGAGGGCTGGAACGTGGGCACAGGCCCAGTCCTCTCCCCTGGTTCTCCCCACTCCCACCTCTACCTTCACCCAGAAGGGCAGCCCAACTCCCAAGGTCAAGCCTCAGGACCTAGCCCAGACATTCTGGGATATGCCAGAAACCTGCACCTAGAAGGGAAAAGTCCCCAACACCGGGAGCCGGATGGGTAATGCACAGGATGGGTAATGCACAGGATGGGTAATGCACAGGATGGGTAATGCACAGGATGGGTAATGCACAGGATGGGTAATGCACGGGTGTTCTTTCCTATGAGCTTAGCTGGCACCAGCTCTGTTGCCAGTTCTTCCTCCTCAGAGCTCGAGCCTATTGTGTGACATTTCTGCCCCCCCCCAACCCCCTAGGGAACCTGAGAAAACAGTCCTTGCCAGGTAAAACATGCCCAAAGGTGGAGGAGACACCCTGCTCCATCCAGCTGAGGAAGACTGCTGGGGAGTGGGAAGGATCAGGGAGGAGGGAGCAGGCGACGGGACAGGGGTGGGCAGAGAGTGCCCCAGAGCAGCCCAGGAGGCTCCGGGCAGGGCACTTCCTCTGTTCTGCACCCAAAATCATGGACCCAAGTGTGGAGCTGCGCTGGGTCTCCTGCTCCGCGGAGCTAGCATTTCCCATTCGTCCATTCTTTGCTGCCAACCCCACAATAATCCCTGATAGGAGAACAGGTGCCGCTGGCCCTGTGTCACACGTAGAAGGGGAAACCGAGGTGGCGGTGGAAAAAACTCCACCGCGGTTCCTCCTCGGCCATTTGGGTTCGGAACCCACAAAGACAAAATCGGGCCCCGTGGGACCCGGTCCTCGGCTGAGAGTCTCCGGACAACGAGATGCGGATCCGCGTGTGGGTTGATTCGTAGTCAGCTCAGTCACCCGCTGCTCCGCCACGGCGCTCAGCTAGGGGCTTCTGGGGACGCCGAGGGCGAGCTCCGGCTCCCCCCCCAGCGGCTCCCAGGCCTCGGCGGCAGCCCCGGCCGGAAAGCCATGCTGACTTGCCATTTTCGTTGCCGTCAGGGCTCTGCCCGCCTGCGGCTGGAACCGGGAGCACAGGAGGCGGCCGCGTCTACGTGGTCAGCGGTCCTGAGCCGCGCCTGGACCGCTCTGTTGCGCGCAGCTTGGCGAGCGCTGCAGGCCAGGGCGCCCGCCGCGGGAACGAAGTCATCGCGGCCAGCGCGGGCTGGAGGCCCCGGGGGTGAGGGCGGCGGGAGGGGACCCTCTACACCAGGGCTGCGTGGCTCAAGTGCACAGGCAGCGCAAACTTGACAGGAGGAGTCGTTGACGGATTTTTAACGTTTCTGGGATCGAAAGAAAAATCTTGGGAAACAAATTCCGTTGATTGCTCCCCGCAGCGGTTGCGGAGCCCTAGTGCTTCTCCGCCCTTCGGCCCATTCTATTGAGCTCAGCCTACGAGGAGGTGTGGGGGACTTCCAGTACCTTCTGGAGGGTCGCTTTGGGAGGGGTGTAGGAGCCAAACCCCTCCTGGGCTCCAACCGGGAGAGGTCCGGGACTTCCGACCCAGTTTCGATCTTACCCTTAAAACAAAAGCACTCCCTGTTGGGCACTAGAAGTGCACTGGTGGCAAGGGCCAACATAGGTGGCACACCCCCACGTCTACACTCTGGAAAGCCAATCACCTGCAAGGACCAGAGGACACAAGAATGCCTTGCCACCAGGCAGCTGCAGCGCAGGAGCCTGGAGCCTGCCGATGGCCCAGCAAGGCCCTCCCCGGTGGCTGCCCATTGCGGGGACAACCATTCTTCTGTGTTCGGAATCAGCTATTCTCACATTCCTGGGAAATCTTGGGGAGCAGTGGACTCTCCTGGCAACACTCTGGGACAGGGCATTGGTGCCGGGACCCTTGACTCTGCGGAGCAGAGGGGAAAGCCTGGGTCAGAAATGTGGAATTGTGTCAGTCCTCAGAATCACTCATGTCACAGCAAAGTCCCGTGGTGAGGGAAGAGGAGTAAAGGGGGCCTGAGACAGGAGACTCAGTGTCGGGACTCCTGTGACCCCAGTGTAGAGCTGAGGAATGGCTGATCTCCTCTTCACCTCAGTTGTGTTAACTGAACTCCCAGGAGGGCCAGTCTCCTGCCCCAGGTCCCCTGAGTCCCCTGCTGGGGCTGGTCCCAGCAGATCACCTTCATTTCCCTTTCTGTGTCGTGGGAAGTGAGTTGGATCATCCCCACGTGGCCTCCATACTGCTGTTGATTAAATCTGAGACACATTTCCACCAAGGGTGGAGCAGAGGACATACCTAGAGAGACCTCACCTCACCTACTCAGTGGTCCACCTGTTGGGTGGGGTCAGGTCTGTGAGTCTCAGTCCAGTGGAGAGCGCTCCTGAGCAGTTCCACAGTTCCAGACTTCCGGGGAAAGCCCATGTGTATTTTCTTTTCTACCCAGACAGGAACCTGAGGGTGAGCAAAACTTGGAATTCCACAGAGCCCAGAGGCTGAGTGCCCAAAGGCACTGGCCAAATTTGGCAAGCACAAAGGAACAGGGAGGGACGGGGCAAGAACCTGGCAAGGTCAACACATCTGGCCAGGCAGCCCTTTCCATCTCTTGCACACGGGATACAATAGGGCTCTCTGGGCCCTGGCAGGGGCAATTGGGCCAGGTTGGACTCCCCCCCCCCCGCACCTCCATGCACTGCAACAGCTAGCCTGCTCCCCAGAGACCTGGCTTCTCCCTGAGACAGGGGGCACAAGCCCAGAAAGTGTGTGTGGGACCACCAGGAGTGCAGAGCTTCCTGGGGAACCCATGGGGCTGGGGCTCCTCCTCGCCAGTTGTCTTCTCCGATGCTCACTCCAGCACCACAGAACCAGCTTTTCTTACTCCCCCCAATCCACACCACTTCCCAGTGGAGATGATCTGATGTCTCCAGCTGTATCTCTCAGCTTGCTGAAAGGCTGGGAGTCCACGAACTCCTTCCCTGCCCCAAGCGAGCGCAGTAGAAGTTGCTGCCCTCCTCCCCTCTCTAGCCCCCCAGACCCAGCAATAACATTGGTTCCAGAGCTTGATAGCAGCCTGAGGTTCTCTAGGGTGGGGAGCTGCCATTCAGCCAGCCACACCTTGCTGCTCCCCAATGTGAGGACTTGAGGTCAGGATTCAGCTCCCAAGCTCCCTAGAGCTTGGCTCAGATTGAAAATTGCTTTTAAACCTTTCAATAGCAACCTTTCCTCCACAAATGGGGCCCCTACTTGCCCATAAAGCCTGGTAAGTCCCCCCAAAGTCTTTGCCAGGCTGGGATACAGAAGGCCTTGGGGCCTCCCGGCCTGGGGTGGAGCTACCTCTAACTTTCCCTGCTTCACCCTTTCTCCATGCCTGCCCTACCCTGCCTTCAGCTTCTAAGTCTGGCCACGTGGGGGCAGGGCCTGGCCAGGCCAGGACCCAACCCCAGCCAGGGCCGTGGCCTTGGGGATAGCCTGCCTGGGCCCCTCCAGCATACTGGGGAGACACTAGTCCTCAGCACCTGGAGAGACCCAGCAGCTCCACCATCTCACTGGTCAGCCTTGGTCCACAGATCCCCAGGCAAGCCCACGGTGTCCCTCTCCCCCACCCACCAAGAACCCTGAAAGAGGACAGAGAAAAGAGACAACCTTGCCTACTCCCCACACCTCCTGCCAGCAAGGGTTGCCCAAGAGATGGCTGTCCTAGGTCAGCCTCGCTGGGGTTCAGACAGACCCTTCCTGAGCTGAAGGAGGAGGAAGGAGGAGGGCTCTGGTGAGCTGCTGCACCCCAGAAAAAGGCTGGGCCTTCCTAACCTTGGGGCCTGCTGGCTGCCTCCAGGGCAGGGAGGAGGCAGCCCTAGGTGGGGATGGGGGAAGGGCAGGTACCCTCTCCAGGTAAGAGTACTTCACAGGTTCCATTGTAGCTCCCCAGGCTGCATGCCAAACATCCTGGGCGGCTACAGGCAGGAGCAAGGGACACCTGGGTTGCTGCAGTAAAGGGGTGACCTTGAGTTGTCTGGCTAGCAGCCCCAGCCAGGTTAGGTTCTGAGTCTGGAGCCTGCCCTTGGGCCAAGGTTAGGCAGCACAGTACCCCCATTCCCATGGGAGTGAGTAGGTTCACAGGCTGCCAGGACCGGTCAGGCCTAAAACAGTGCCCTAGCCTGCCATGGGAACTCCCCACCAAGACCTACAGAGCATGTCCCTGGAAGCCAGATACTCCTGTGTCCCTGCTCAGGGGACGGGCAGTCAGTGTAGGGAGGGTGAGTAATGGTCTGATAGACCCTCTGCAGAACCTCACTGAAAGGGCTTCCTGGACACACTCACCTAGGGCCAGAAAGAGCCTGGGGGCAGTGGCCAGTGAGCACTTGCCCATGCGGGGCAGCGAGTGGGGTGCAGGACTGGGCAGCCTCCTGGACATCTCCCAGGGGCAGGAAGCCCAGCAGGAGAGAGGCTGTCGACTTCTGAGACGAGAAGGCGGAAGGCCCAGCACACCATCTAGGCTGGGTCCGCAGGGCTTTTCCTCTGGGGTGGCATGGACCCTGCGACCCTAGGCCCCACGTCTCCGGTCTCTGCTGGGGCCTGAGCCCTCGGAGTAGCTCTCCAGCCCCGGCCAATTTAACGCAAAGGGCACAGACGCAGGTTTCCGTCTGTAGGTCTCAGTGCAACGGATACTGATTTCATTGCACAACAAAGAGTGGGTGGGCATGGACAGGAGCCCCACCCTGGGCAGCAGAGAGACCTGGACCCGCGGGCACGACCCCTGCCCCGGGCTCGGTTGACGCAGTGACAGCTCCAAGTCTTCCTGCCTGGCGGAACCTTGATACTCTGGAAGGACGAAAGGGGCAGCGAACCAGTCAGGGTAGCGCCTCTGTCGGCTTTCCTTCGTTTCTCGAACCCAAGCCATACTTGAATGAGGAATCTGCACTCACTTCATCAGGCCCCTGGGCTGGGATCACCCTGCGGGTGCCCAGGCAGACCTCTAGGCTGCCGCGCCTCAATTTGAGGATTGCTGGGGCAGAAGAAGCGCCTGGTCGGCTCCCGCCCGCGCTCCTCCACCTGCACCGC